TAGCTGGTCAAATGCTGATTTGAAGAGGATGTCCGCTGAGCTGCCCGAATCTACGAGTATGCATCTGACCTCGAAGTCGCTGATCCTTAGTTTAATGACGAACGCGTCATCGTGGGGGTAGTGGACCCCTCGCACGTCGTCTTCCATGAAGAAGATTGGTTCTTCGGTCTTTAGTCTTTTTGGGGGGTTCCGTTCCTCGAGGGCCACTTCGCGAACTGAAGTCCGGGCTGCTGCTGAGGTGCACCCTGCTACCACCGAACCTCCCACAATTACATGGATGGTTCCCCGAACTGGCCTCTCTTCCGGAGGCTGTCGCTGCAACGGTTCAGCAGGTCTGCTGCTAGATTCGGAGGCATCCTTTTCGTGCTCCCCTTGCCGACCTGCCTTATTGTTATTATTGTTATGCTGTACAAAATTCCTTAAGTATCCACGACGGATGAGCCCCTCTATCTCGTCCCGGAGATTATTACACTGTTCGGTACTATGACCGTGGTCTCTATGGAAACTACAATACAAATTCTTATTTCTCTCGTTCGGATTTCCCTTTAGGCGAGGTGGCCACTTAACGTATGGGGCGTCCTTGATTGTCATTAAGATCTCGGTYCGCCTCGCGTTTAACGGCGTGTATTCCGTCCGAACTGCTAGGGGAGCCCGGAACGATTGGGTCGGCTTCGGCTCTCGGGCCGGGTTTTTTCTGTCGACTGGGTTGGAGGGCTCGCCTTCCCTCTTTCTTTTCTCATTCTCGCTCTCGGTTCGTTGGTTGATTTCTTCCTCTGTCCTCATGAACTTGTCCGCGAGCTTGAGGAATTCGGCCACGGTTGCGGGCTAGTTAGCTACCATGTNGGTGAAGGCCACGCACATGCACGATTCACTGGCCCTGGCGAGGTGCATTTGGGACTGGAAAGCGTCAACGTGGTCGTTGGGATCGAAGGACCCATCATACTTGTCCAAAGGTGGGAGCTTGAAATCCCTAGGCAAGGGGACCACCAGGAGTTCTGATGCGAGGGGGAAGAAACTGAGAGAATCGGGGCAGCTCCTACCTCGTCCGAGCTCATCTCTTCCTTGCCTCTGAGCTCTGACAGGACATGGGTGGCAGTTCGGCGACTTCGTCGGCGCCTTCGTTGAGTGGGCCTGGTACTGGCACTGCTGGCCTCTGTGTTGCCGAGCTTGATGGGCCCGGAATGCTGGTGGTCTGCTGCCAGGACGTCGAATCGGTTTTCCGTGAGCGGGAACTCGGGCTTGGAGCGCCGAGGTGCTGACATTGCGGGCGAAGTTCTTGACCCGCTTGCGAGCTGCGAGGCGGGGATGATTTTTCTCTCTCTTTGGCCTGGGGATGAGGCCT